TACTAAACTTAGATTTTTGTTTGTGTATTTTATTGTAACCGTGATATATTTTTGTTTTGTGTACCTGTCGATTATGCACAATTAGTTTGTTTGTGTTCTACTTGGCTTTATGCCTGTATTTGTGTTAAATAAGAAATATATAATGAAAGAATTGAAATATTTATGAAAGAATATTTGTTAAGAATATGGAATGTGTCACTTAAGAAAACTGATACTTGACGGGCTTGGCTAACTCGAATTAAAATGGAAAGAATAATTGCTAATGTAAGCATATGCCACGTTTCAACAACCCATCAGGATCGATATACCCGCACTAAGTCACTTGCAGGCATCTCATTGAAAAAGAGCGGATGATTTTATCAAAGAACTTATTAAGTGTTTAAAAAAACTTTGAAATATTTATCAAATAGTTATGTACTAATCTTTCATAATCCCTCTTCTCTATAACAAACGCATTTTATTAATTAATTTAATTCAAAGCAAGCTGCTGAAATTAAAAAAACATTGAACAATTTATTCTTTCAAAAGCATTATAGAGAGTAAACAAATACAACGAAAATAAACAGAGAAGTAAGGAAGCAATGTTGCTATAACTTCACCTACTGCATTTCAGCAGTAAAATGTTCTAAAAAATGTGTATTAATAATGAATAATTCTATTTAGTCATTAGTTTATGATTAAGTTGTGCTTCTATTTGTTTTATATTTACTTGGTAGATAATTTTGAACGCATAAATTCTGAGTTTAGAATGAAAGAAAGGAATAATCGGTATTCATATGATGTTTTGTGTGAATAAAAAGTTTCACTTGCTAAAAGCTCAGTTATATAGCAAATATTACAAATGTAATACCAAAAAAGAACAAAATAACTTAACTGAGAAATGTATAAAAAAAAGTCTTCCTTTAGCAAATTTTTCTGTTCGAGATAACTTTCTCTTTTTCTGGATAACTTCAATAACTCCATTTTTATCGACACAATCAAGTTTTCAAACAAAGGTTTTAGGAATTTTGTCTCCTTCATCCATGATGGCTACTTCCAGGTCGTATACAAAGTCACATTGGCAGTTATTTGCATATACTTGTCTTGTCAAGTAGTCTCATCAAATTTCAGTAGGATTAAGGTCAGCTCAGAACATCGATTTTTTCTTTCTGAAACCAATTTCTAGTTGGTTGGGAGGCATGACATGCCGCATTGTCTTGCTAAAACTTGCAGTCTGACCCATCTAGATGAGGGCCAAAATGTATAAGGTATTAGTTAAGTAGTTGTTAATAACGACTGGAGTCTATTTTCCAAGAAATTCACTGTAAGTCGTACTTATCATCAAACGCAATAGCTCCCCACTCCACCACCAAGCCACCACCTATCTGCCTACCAAGGAAATCACAAGATTCTGTTTGCAAATCATGTCAGTAGTAATTATTACCTTCCGGTCCTTCCAAATTAGACTTTTTTCGGTTTGAAAAATAATATTTTTCCAAGCAGCACCCAAGTCATAAACTCCTTTGTCTACTTCAGCCTCTCTTTTTAATGATGCTTTAGCAGTCTTTGATTTCTTTCGATTTTTCAAAAAACAATATTTGAATTTGATCTCAAATTGCGCCAGAATGTTGCATGACAGTTCGTTCTTCTTTTCTGTTGAGTTAATCTGTGAGTAGACAAATTCTATTTCATTGCAAATTTGAAAATATATCCAAATATATCTATTTTCTCCATCTAATAATTTATGCTTTCTGCTGAATCTGTCATATTTTATTTAAGAATCTCGTTTGCTCAAAACGTTATAAACAGCAGTTATAGAATGCTTAATTAACTCACATATTTTACGAGCCTTTTCCATGTGGCATTGTGATTTTTCTTATGAAAACAAATAAATTAAGTTCTCATTTTTTTATAATATTATCGTTTGCGTTTTCTGCGATGCAAAATTATAGTTTGCAAACAATTTTCAAAGAAAAAATAAAAAGATTTCTATAAGACTCAAACAGTTTTGAAAAAAAGTAATAGCCAGATTTTTAAAAAAAATCGTTTGCTGTGTAAAAATAACTCAATTTTCTTTCACTTTTTCATTTCTTTATAGAAATATAAGTTATTTCAGTTGCTTCTCCATTTTAAAATTATTTATTTTATGAAGTATGCCATAAAAATTAGTGATATTTGGGGTGGCCTTCCAGTTTTGTAACAAACTGTAAAATAAAACGAATGACCAAACGATTATACAACACTTTATAAATCCAATGAGATTCGCGATCGCAACGCTCGAGTACGCCGTCTAGCGGGAGCCTGTAAATATCGGACATTAACTTAATACAATCACATTTTCTG